CGTTTGACGCGGACCCATTCTTTTGTTGGCGGCTTGGAAGAGGTGCCGTTCATCTGTTGTTGAGGCTGTTTGCCTCTTTTGTTCTTCAGATCCGTGTTGTAGCGGATCCCGTCAATGGACTCCATGGCCTTTGCGAATCGTTTCGCAAGGCGTTGACGTTGCCTTTGGCGGGCTCTCTTCGAGAGAGTCACCACGCCCCCTGCGGCAGAAGGGTTGGCCAGAGCAGATCTGACCTGGTTGGAAACTGGAGGAATCTCACCCGATGCGACTTTGGCATCAAACGGGGCGAGATCTTCGTTGGCGGCTTCGACTTCTTCAAACCAACGAGTTTTTCTCCTGGAGGAGAACTTGGACTTCTTGGACTTGCGGAGGGAGGTAGATCTGGACGAGGATGAAAGGTACTCCTCGAACTTGGTCTGATCGAACTCGTATTCGACCTCCTCCACGACCGGGATTGAGATCCGCGGCTGCGACGCATCGATCTCGTTGGCGAGATCGTCGGCTCCCACTGTGGTCGCCAGATTGTTCGCGGGGAAAATCGTAGGTTTCTTTGTTATTGATTCCATTGTCATCTTGAGTTACAACTTTTTGAGTTACAAAAGATCCGGTCTTTTTATAAGATCCGGTTACAACGAAAATCAAATAAAAATAAACAAAGATTACAACTTTTCTCCTTTTGTGTCGAACGAATCGCGAGCTCCTGTTTTGCGGTCGCTCGCTTTGTGGGTTCTTTGCCTGCGCCGGGGTTGTTTGCCGTGGACCACCGCGCGATCTAGATCCGGTCGGATCTACGCAGTACAACGGGTATTATTTCACCAAGGAAATAATAGCCGGGGAGGATTGTTTCACCAAGGAAACAATCGTCCAAGTCTCGGGATCTAAGACCAAGCTTAGATCCGGAGTACGTATGCGTAGATCTGAGATCCGGTCCTCTCGAACTCCTGCCTTATTTGGCGTTGATGATCGTCGAGCACCAGATCTGGATGTGCAAGTCCTCGAAGTCCCAAAGCTTGAATCTTGTTAAGTTCTGAGTCTCCAATCCAGCAGGGCTTCGCCTCTCTGGCCGAGCCACCTGAAGTTGGCTCGGCTTCGGCCGAGCCCCTCTAGGTGGTGGGTTTGGTTGTTTTCCGTCTTTCGGTCTTGTCCGTGATTCGGTTGTGCGGTTGATTGACTCGTTGACCTGATTTGGCAGTAAGTCTGATTCCTGATTTGGCAGTAAATCCACTTCTGAGTTCGAGTCCGAAACCGATCTTGATTCGATCGTGATTCGTCCGAGTATGCCCTCGGTTGGATGACTCGTTGACTCTTCGAACACTTGGCTTGATCCCGCACGCGAATGGACGTATTCCGTTGCTTGCGTGCGATTAGTCAATCTCGTTGCCTCGTTGGTTTGTCGGTTTGTGCCGAGCTGAGCTAAGGGACCTATAAGCAATTTTATATGCCTACAATACCCACTTGCAACCAATCGCCTTCCGCCCCTTTGGAAGCTGAACAAGCTCCTATGTATCGTTTTTATGAAGAGACTCCATCTCCTCCTGCATAGCTACCTGCCACGAATCAGTCTCTGAACTCTGCTCGGCCTCTCTGAATGTAGTAGGTACTAACTCATCGATACTCTCCACCGCAAGTGCATACACAACTACTGTGTCGGTATACCGTGCTGGCGTCCGTATGTCTCTCCTCTGTCTCTGAACAACAATCGAATCTTGAACCTGAGCCGTCGGTCTCTGATCCTGCACATCTGTACCCGTATCCTCCTCGTTATCGTCACGCTCGGTTGGCGTCACCTCAATCGGAATTCTAAGGGATATTGTACCATTTGGACAATGTAGAGCTACATCGATCTCCACCACCTGCGATATCTCTTCCATCGGGTCGCTCTCCACCTGATGAGAACTGGAAAGCTTCAAGATAGAAGCCTCATTGAACGTAACGTCCCTACTCTACATAATCTTCCTATCAACTGGATCTCATAGCTTGTATCCCTTGACACCACGTTTGAATCCTACAAATATGGCCTTCCTAGCTCGAGGTTCTAATTTATCTGTTCTCACATGATAAAATGTAGGGCATCCAAATACCTTGAGCTGGTCGTAGTCGTGTGCTGGCTTTTCCGACCACATCTCCATAGGGGTGTTCCCCTCAATCGCAGATGAAGGCCGTCTGTTAATGAGGTGGCTCGCATATGATAATGCCTCAGCCCAAAAGATCTTCTCCAAACCACTTTGCGACAATAAGCACCGAACCTTCTCTAGTAAAGACCGATTCATCATCTCTGTCACCCCATTTTGCTGTGGTATATGACTAACTGTGAAGTGCCTCTCTATGCCCTCGTCTCGACATAGCTGCTGAAATGGGTCAGAAGTATACTCACCACCGTTGTCGGATCGTAACGTCTTGATCTTTCTCCCAGTCTGTAGTTCCAATCTCTTCTTCCACTCTACAAATAAATCTAGAAATTCACTCTTCTTCGTCATAGTGTACACCCAACAACGCCTAGAATAGTCATCTACAAAAGTAACGAACCAATGTCGACCACCAAGTGATACAGTCTTGGTGGGACCCCAAACGTCTGTATGCACGTAGTCCAGGATGTCCCTTGTCCTATGGATGGCAGTCCCGAACATCACCTTTATCTTCTTGCCAAGTACGCAATGCTCACAGAACTCTATCTTTCCACTCTTGGCTCCCTTCAATAGCCCCTGCTTGCACAGCGCCTGCAGTGGCTTCTCACCTGTGTGCCCCAACCTATAGTGTCAAACCTGCTCATGTCCGTCTCTGAAATAACTAAAGCAACATGACCAACCTCGGTGCTCCCCTTTAGATAATATAAATTCCTACTGCGGACTCCCTTCATCACCACCAAAGATCCCTTAATAACCTTTGCTACAGCGTCCTCAAAGGTCACCTTGAATCCCTTCACCTCCAAAGCTCCAACTGAGATAAGATTCTTCTTCAGCTGAGGAATAAATCTCACCTCTTTCAACTCATGAACTACTTCATCGTACATCCGAATCCGCACGGTACCTATCCCACAAATATCACAGGATTGATCATTTCTCATGACTACAACACCCCCATCGAGTCTCTCAAACGATGCAAACCAATCTCGCCTAGGGGTCACATGATAAATAGCGCCAGAATCTAACATCTAATCTGATGCATCCAAAGGATTCTCCTCCGGAGTAATCAAGAGAGAAAAGCTCGAATCATCAGAATCATTGCCGCTAGCAACATTCATCTCATTGGCCTTCTGGCCCTTCTTTTTGCCATTCTCCTTCTCCTTAAGCTTCGGGCAATCTCTCTTCCAATGTCCATATTCCTTACAGAATGCACACTGGTTCTTAGCTAACTGGTGATGGCCTCTAGACTTTGACCTCCCTCTATTGCCACCTCTCGGATATGGGCTTCTACCTCTCGTCGACAAGGCCTCTCGTGAAGTACTAGCACGGAAAGTCTCATTGTCCTTCCTCCTCAAAACATAATTCGTCAAAGCGTTAGTAACTTCACTATAGCTGATAGAAAATCTTCCATTTAACAGAGTGAGCACGAAGGTATCATACTCCTCATCTAGTAAGGAGCCCAACAAAATAATCGCCTTGTACTCATCCGATATCTTCTCATCAACATTCGCCAAGTCCCCAACAAAATAATCGCCTTGTACTCATCCGATATCTTCTCATCAACATTCGCCAAGTCCGATAACAACTTAGTGTAGTTGTTCCCGATATCTTCTCATCAACATTCGCCAAGTCCGATAACAACTTAGTGTAGTTGTTCACATGAGCCGCTAGTGAGGTACCTTGGGACATCTGAAATCTAAACAATCTTCGCAACAAGTGCAATCAGTTCTCATCACTTTTCGTCAGATACTTATTGTTGAGAATCTCCCACATCTTCATTGCAGACGTCACTCCAATCACATCATACTTCAGCTCCTGTTCTAAATAGAACCTGATCACCCCACAAGCGTTCCTATTCATCTTTTCCATACCGCCTCTTCATATTTTGGTGGTCTCTCTTGGACCATGATGGTCTCCTCTAAATTCTGTGCATTGAGCGCATCCTGTACGTCGCTCATCCACAAACCAAAGTTGATTTTACCGTCATATTTTACTACGCTAATTTTAGTGTTCTAAAAACCAATTTGAACTGTACCCAATATATTCTTGCTGCTTTCTCCAACTTCTCCTCTCATACTCATAATCTCCAATTGCAAAGAAAGATCCAAATTTTAATAAAATTAAAAAGATACCCAACTGAACCCTAAATTGGATTCCAAATTGATCTCCTAACCACACAAGGAAAGCAAGACCACTATGTCACTCCTCAACGCTATCTCCATCGAAGTCTAGAACTCCAAGAACCAAGCTTCCAAACTGAATCTTCCTCCACCCAATGCCAAAACCCTAGATCTCAAATCTGGAACTCTGATACCAATTGTTGCCCGCCTTTGCGGAAGCGTGCTCGCACACTGAACGAGTCCGTAAGCACAGGAGAAGATAAACAAACCTAACTCTGGTACAATCCAACAAATATGACAAGCCAATCATAAACACAAATATTTTACGTGGTTTGGCAATTTGCCTACGTCCACGGGAGCAGCACAAATAATTTTTTATTTACCATAAGAAATTACAAATTAAGAGAGAAGATCTCAAGCTTGAGATCTTTCCAAACAATAACAGTGTTTTAAGTTAAAACACTGTTCAATCTCTCTTAAATAACTCAACTTCCCCAAATAAATATCACCAAACTCTTCTCCACAAATTAATGAGAAGAGGACAAATGGGGGACAAATGGGAGAGAGAAAACGCAGAAGGAAATTTTCCAACGCCGCTTCTTTTCATCTCCGCTCCCGCTCTGCTCGCTCTAATTCCGCTCTCCTCCAGATCGCGAAAGGGGTTTCCCTTTTATAGGGAAACCCTAGGGGCGAGCTCGAAGCCAGCTGGATTCAGACTCATGAAGCGCGTCTAGAGCTCGTATCATTTACAGAACCATCCTTCCACTGTTTCCATACCCACACAATGGCCAGTGAAAGGTGCCATGAGACATCAGTAGTTATCAGACACAGAGAGAGAATAAAAGCAACAGGAACTTCATTGCAGGAGCACAGGATGCCACTCTCCAATCTAGACTTCTTGCTGCCACCGGTAGACGTTGGGGTCTTCTTTGTCTATCGAAACCGTGAACATCAGTTGAGGTCATCATCAAAGTTCGACACTCTAAAGACATCATTGAGTGAAGCACTGGCAACCTATTATCCGCTTGCTGGTGTCATCACGGAGAACCTCAGAGGGGAGCCAGAGTTACTCTGCAACAATAGCGGGGTGGACTTTCTTGAAGCTTACTTTGAGCGAGGGATAGCTGAACTAGATCTATATAATCCTGAAGAATGCCTCGAAGGAAAGCTGGTGCCGCGAAAGGATGAAGGAGTGTTCTGCATCCAAGTAAGAACCTTTAAAACTTGTATGCTAGTGTGTGTAGTAAGTGGTTATTTTTTCTCGGATCATGGTTTCTCTCAAAAAAAATGGACACTCGTGCTTTTTAGGATGAGATAAGAGCTAAGTTGCACCATGTTGCTAACACAAGCCTAATGGGAGTTATCTAGTCCAAGTGAGATCACCACAAAGAGGAGTCATATTTAGCTCGACAATGGTGCAGGATTTCACACATCTACCCCATTTACAATAGTACAGCATAAATCCCTTTACAACTTCCACTAAACAACTAGAAATTTAATCTGAAGATAGGAACACCCTACTCGTCGTGCTAACCAGGGATCTAAATAGTTTGAACAAGAATCTAGTAGAAGAAATCCTAGAGGTTATATTTTGAACAATGCTTTAAGAAGCACCTGTGATAAAACCTTCTCAGTTCTGAGTTTATTTCACCAAGGTTTGAATAGCTATTTCAGTCAGGCATCCATGGGGCGCCGATTTTCAAACATAGGCTCAGTTGTATCTGGATTAACCTTATTGCAACTGACAACTCCAGACGAAAACAGGGTTTTAATGAATAGAGTAGTGACCTGGCCCAAGTTCAAGTCAAAAGAAAAGCAGAACATACTCAAGACCTGATCAATAGCAACCTTGAGTCACCAGTCAAACCTTGAGTCACCTCTCAATGGGACAACTTTTTTTTTTTCTTAAAACTTGATATTGTTGACAAATTATATAGTTTGTAACTCGTAATTTTACTTGAGCGTATCGTTATACAATCGGAACATCCACAACACATTGAAGCATATCAAGGTATAGGAGCTCACTTGAGTATATTTAGATAAAAGCAATCATATCTAAGGTTTCAGGCCCGTCTCTACATTTAGAAAAACATATATCCACCATCACAGCAAACGTTGAACATTGTGAATTCTCCGTCCTTCAAATATAAGACACAAATGTACATGGTATGAGCTCACACCACTTGTTCTGTTCTGCTTACATAAATACTAGCCGATGGTAACAGATCACTGCTTAAATTGCTTGATTCACATTTATCTTAATTTGAAAAAAAAAACCCAAATAACAGTGACAGAATCTACATGACCTCATTAATTCCAAGGTATCTTCAGCCCATAAATAAGCTTCTCAATTGAGGTAATGCCCGTACGAAATTGAATTTGATCAGATGCAACAGCTGTTAGTAACGCGCTCTGACCTGCAGGCCACAGAACTCAAATGCGGGGGTCTGGTGATCGCTTGTGTGTTTGACCACAGGATCGCTGATGCCTACTCTATCAACATGTTCTTACTTGGTTGGTCTCAGCTTGCCTGTTCTAAGCCGATCTCTATTATCCCATGCTTTTACTGTTTTCCTCATCAATTACATTATGCTAGCCTCTGCAATTCCTCTATTACCAATCTTTATGTCCCCGCCTCTTCACTCTCTCTATCAAATAATTGCAGCCTCACCAGCCGTATATACCATGTTTCTCTCGAACACATCAACCGCCTCCAAATTCTCTCTAAAGCCACCACCAAACTACAAGCCTTCAGTGCATTTCTCTGGCAAACAATCGCCAAGGGTATGAAATGCAACCCTGAAAATTTCTGCAAGATGGCTATTGTGGTTGACGGGCGGTCAAGACTTAATCATGACATGTCTACTTATTTTGGGAATTTACTAGGAGTAGTTTTTAGAAAGCACACAGCCAAAGATTTAAGCTCGATGAAATTAAGTGAGGTTGTGGGCATAGTCGAAGAAATGATAAAGGAAGGCACAAAGGAGGAACACTTTTTGGAGTTAGACAACATGATAGGCAAACAAAGTATAAAAGGAGTCCGATCAAGGATATACTCGGAAGAGGAAAGCGATGGAGCGGCATTTATAGTGTCATCAGGAAGAAAGTTTCCGATGTCAGAAGTAGATTTTGGATGGGGTCAGCCAAATTTTGGATCATATCACTTCGGCTGGGGTGGGAAAGTTGGCCATATTATGCCAATACCAAGCACTAGTTGTGAAGAGGAGTGGGTAGTTTGTGCAAGGCTAATGGAATGGCAGGTGGTGGCGCTGGAGACGTACGGTGAGGGTATATTTCGGTCTCTCACATCTGGCCATCTCATGCTGTTTAGTGACTCTGCTGAAGAATGAACATACCTGATGTCCAGTGCAAATCTAAAACTGTTTGTTTGTATGTCCATTAGATATCCTATTGATCCAAAATAAGCCGTTCGGGAGTTAGCGTCTTCTTATTCTGTATGATCAAACCAGCTTTAGTTTCTTCTTATTCTTGTATGATCAAACCAGCTTTTACATTTAGGCTTAAATGCTACCTAGCGTGTGGATCGATAACTTAAAATTCAAATGGCAATTGGGCATATAAAGATCAGATCTCGTGATATTCCAACACTTGTATATTCTCTGTTAGATCTGATACTTTTCTTTCTTTTCTTCAACATGTGGAGAGTTCTAACTTTGACTATAGAATTTGCGAAGTGCAAGAAGTCTTTAGTTTGGACCACTAACTGACAATGATGGGCCATTAGCTCTACAAATGAGTAAAACCAACGTGAAACGAGAGCGACAGAATCCTGTCTTATGATTGGGGACATGCCCCAGCTCAACAGAAGCAGAATGGCGAAACTAGGAACGCGGCACCCGGATGAAGAACAAGGAAATACACAGATACAGATAATTATGGAGTTGGCTCTCAAGCCTACATTCACGAGACAAGAGGAAATGGTTTCAATAGGATCAATATGACAGAAAATGGAGGATTTAAGGTAGTGTCTCTAACACTTGAAATCTGACCTTTTTGAAACCCCACAATAACAGACGTTTCCACCCTCTGGGAAACCATTGAGTATAACAAGTTTCACAAATGAATTCCCCAATATCCTACGTTCACATGAAGCAGACATATATTGCATTCAAGTTTTGTAAGTTTAAATTCTAGATGTCTATTTGGTATTCGTTCAAGTTTTGTAAGTTTACGGACTTCTCCAAAAAACCTGGAATTGTTTCTAGTATTCCTGTAATTTTTTAAGGTCTTCAGTTTTTTTTTTTTTCTTTTTTTTTTGAATTGAAGTTATCGGGTTCCTTGTAGGAATTTATACTGAATTATTGCATTTTAGTTAGTGTAAACGGAGGTTGGATTTTCGGTGCTTATTGCCTAGTTGTGTAAAAATCTATTAATTTTCCCAAGATATTACATGGGACAATTCTGAGCCCCAAATTTTGGCTAAATACTTACTTGGGAGAGATCTGTCCTAGCTTCATGAGACATTATTGTTCCTTGTTTTTGAAAATTACAGTTTTGCAACCTTAAGATTTAAAGGATACCCACAAGTGATGCCAGTATCATTACATTGTTTTTTTTCTTTTTAATGCATGCCCAAGTGGCATAAAAATGACACAATAAAATGAAAATCAATCATATGTAAAAGAAAAATTCTAATTATCAGCAAAGAAAGCAATATTCAGAGTAGCTTGAGGTTTGAGTAATCACAAAGCCAAGTGCCAAACTGCTAGAATTGATTTCTGTCTACCTTATATAATTCAGTGACTATAAATTTTAGCACCTCCATTTCTGTCCTTCATTGTCATCCCTTGCTGATTCTTGGAATAAAAAAATATTTTTAGAGAATTCAAAATAAATAACTAAACTTTTCAGCAGAAAAAAAATCACCGGATTGATGATTGAATTGCAGACAGACCGCGCCGTCTAGTCTCTAGAGCTTCTAAAATGAGTTGTTAGCTGGAGTACTATCTCACTTCTCCTTCTCTTGGCATTGGGGAAAAAACATATGAAAATTGTGTCAAATAATTGATTTTTAATCAAATAAAAAGAGGCACGAAATGTTTAAAATAAAAAGTCTTTGGATTGGAAACAATATCATCCTTTGTGCATGCTATGCCTCAATTGAAAAATGAAGGAGGAGGGCGCTAAGCTGCCTCACGACTTTCATTAAGGAAGCTTGTAACAAAAGAAAGGAAATAGAAGAGATTTGAAAGAAAAATGAAGAGCTAAGAATAGAAAGGTTAATTATTAATTACTATAGGTGGCACGAATCTTTGTGTGAGGAATTAATTAAAACAGAACAATTGATTTGAACAACATGACACTAATTACTAGAGGTGACAATAGAGTAATCACATTGACTACTAACCATGAATGTGAAGAGAGGTTAACGTAAACCTGCCCAGTGCTCCATCTTGTCATGGGTCTGCCCCAATATAGGAGCCTATTTTAGTAAAGTTTTGTTAATAATGAAATAATATTTCGAGTCGGAAAATAAACCTAAGGAAAAATAAGCTTCATCCAGTCCAATAACAATACATTCTTAATAATTCTATGAGTTAGAACTTCATCATAATTACGTACGAAACTGTCTAATTTTGATAATAAATTAATATGACCTGTAAGCATAATTATGAGAATTCATCATCAACTTTAGTTATAAACATAGTTATTCTTAAAAGCCCTTATTAGTATTGAGTATGTATCTATGCATCAATATATGTTTGCCACTAATAAGTGATAGTATGTATACATATGTGCGTATATAATGTATGCATGTATTTCTGAGGGAAATTTCAAAAGAAATGCTTTAACATAGCAACACATTGTTATAATAGTACTAGTATAATGCACGTGCTTTGCACGTGAATGTACATGCTTTAATTTTTAAATTTCTTAATGAATAGTTAAACTATGTGTTAGTAAATAAAATTGTACAATAAAATTTCTTAAAAGGAAATGCAAGAATTAATTACTATTGTGTGGTTATTGTAATTGAATGTTTTTTTAAAATGATTCGCCTAGTTGTAACCTCTTTTTAAATAAGTCCCCCAAATCTAATATTGTTCTTAAATAAAATTGTTAATTTTATAAGTTCTATTAAATATGCCCCTACAACTTAAAAGTTGTTAACTTAATTCTAAATTAATTAAGCTACATTAATCTTGCTAGCTTTTTCCTGATGTTCCCTACATAGTTACATTTAATATATGTAACATTTTACAGTAGTTACTTCTCATTATAATTATTTAATAGGGTAAAATTACACTAAACTCTTATGAACTTTCAGCCCTTATAAACTTTTAAAAGCACACTAAACCCCTCATGACTTTTCTGTTTTAAAGAAAACCCTCAATAAATCTTTAAATTTTGCAGATAACCCCTATAAATTAGAACCAAAAATGGCATAATAAGGTATTTTGAAAGTTATTGGGGGTTTAGTGTAATTTATCTAAAAGATATTCGGAGCTTTCTACAAAAGATACGTGTTAGATCCTTTGTTTTGATGATGATTTACAAACACCATTATTGGTGCTAATTGTTTATTAAGCTATATTGTAGATCACATATCATTAGCACCTTATATGGAGGATTTGATGGAAAATGAGCTATAACGACAATATCTAAGGAGGTGGAGGCAAAGTGTTGAAACAATACTTTCAAGAGCACCATATGCATAGCTTCATCTACTCAAGAGCAAATATCAAGACTCGGGTTATGTATTTCTATGTGAGGGATATTTACTATTTTATTTTTCTCTCTAGTACTTAATGTAGGCAAGTAGTTTGTTGATTACATTTGAAGCTCATGGGATAACACACTTGCACACTTTCAAAACTCGTATTTTGATACTTTTGCTAAAATAATAATTTTTACAAATACGAAGACCTTTTCACAAAATTCCTTTTCAAGCAAGTTTGTCAAAATATTTATAAACTATTTCCAGAGTTTCACATTTTTTAGAATTTATTTACTATTTTTAAAGCCTGTTGAAACTCACTTTCAAAATCTAAACGGGCTGAATATCTGTTATCAGTCGACTGACCAATCGACTGATGACATCAGTTGACTGGTAAGTCGACTAATCAAAGTGCCTAGAATCATCAAAAAAAATATGTTTTGTTTCGGCCGACTGACCAATTGACTGATGGTTTGTCAGTCGACTGAAAGTGATCGTCAGTCGATTGATGAGCCGGTATTTGAATACAACGTTCAGCTCATCAGTCGATTGATGCTTCCCGTCAGTCGACTAATAGCAGTCTAATGACTAGTTTTTATACAAAATCGGTTTATCGGTTTTTTAGGGATTTTTGCTGATTCTTTGGGGTTTTGGTGTTGTCTTTTCTCCCTATAAATACCCAACAACCCCAACTACTTTAGTAACTAAGCTTTCATTACAAATCTCTTATGTTTGAGTTTATTGTTTTCAAAGAGATTCAACTTTCATTTGCTTTCACTATTTCAAAGCCCACATCCCAAGCTTCAATTACAATATCCTCTCTTGCCATAGGGCTAATGCAAAGAGAGAGCTTTTCTTCGATTTACTATTGTTGTGAGTTTGATCTTGTGAAGATCTCCTGTGTGGTTGTGAGATCTCGATGGAGATCGTTGTGTAGAAGAAGTTCCAGCTTCCAAACCGAATGTGTAGTGGATTTCTCCTCGAGAGTGGGGAGCGGGGATGTAGGTTAGCGGACCGAACCTTGTGAACATACCGCGTGTCATCAATTGGCTAACTATCCCTATCCTTACTCTCTTTTATTATCATTGCAATTCATATTTGTGTGTGGCTTGTCGGAATATCTTTTAATTATATATTATTTATCCATAAACCCTATTCACTCCCCCCCCCCCCCCCCCTCTCTAGGGCCTTTCAATTGGTATCAGAGAAAGATCTCTACTGTTGTTAGGCTTAAACCCCTTAAAGAAAATATCATTATGGAGACTTCTATGAATATGCATATGCTAGAAGGACAATCAACCACTAGGCCACCCCTCTTCACCGGTAGCAACTTTGCCAATTAGAAAGCTAAGATGAGAATTTATTTACAATGCATTGACCTTGATATCCTAGACATTATGGAGAAAAAATATATTAAGAAGCTTAGTAGTGAAATGACTGAGGATGAGAGGAACTTAGCTAACCTTAATATTAAGACCATAAATGCACTAATTTTTGGTCTTACTCCCAATGAATATAAGAGAGTTTCTACATGTGCAACCGCACACGAAATTTGGGAGAAGTTATGCATTACCCATGAGGGAACCCCCCAAGTGAAGGAGTCTAAGATTAGTGGACTAATGCATGATTATGAACTATTTAAAATGCTTCCAAGTGAATCTATTGACTCTATGTTTTCTCGGTTCACTAATATTATAAATGAATTGCATGGTCTTGATAAGGTCTTGGAGAATGAAGAGATGTGCTACAAAATTCTTCGCTCTTTGACGCCAGCTTGGGAACCTAAAGCTACGGCCATCGAAGAAACACATGATCTATCTACTCTCACTCTTGATGGACTTATTGGCAAGCTCAAGGTCCATGAGAAGAAGGTTAAGGAGAAGGAAGAAGCACCCCCAAAGGCAACCGAGCAGCCACTCCAAAAATCAAAGTCCATAGCTCTCAAGAGAGCAATTGACGATTCATCCTCCTCGGACAGTGAAGATGAAGTCTCTAAAGAAGTGGCACACCTCTTTAGAAGGATATCAAGACTAATCAAAATGAACAAAAATTTCAAAAATCGATCTAACAATAAATTTTCTTCTCGTATAGGTAAATGCTTTGAATGCAACAAACCGGGACACTTAGACAAGGATTGTCCCAAGCTTAAGGAGAAGTATTTGAAATACAAGAAGAAGAAGGCTATGTATGCTGGTTGGGATGAGTCCGAACCAAGTGATTCGGATAGTGATGATAAGAGCGTCGATATTAGCTCTTTTATGACGGAACATTTATTTCATGGCTCATGAAGATGAGGTACAATCCGAAACCAAAAATGAATCTCTTATATGAAATGTGAATTAGAAGCGGCTTTAGAAGAATTAAATTTTGAATTTAAAAAATTAGCAAAAGAATATTCTTCATTCAAAAAATTACATGTTTCTTGTGATTCTAAGTTTGAGCAACTACAATCTTCTCTTGCTCTAAAAGATGAAA